CATGGTGTAGCTTACGTCTGAAAGTGTTAGTTGGGTAGCTACCGTGATAACTCGAACACGCGTTAATTGCCTGTGCACTGGCAACTAACGTTAGCTGCAATGAGTAAGTGGCAAAACGAGTAAGTCGCGTTGTGGTTTATTTAAACCAAAGTGCCCACACGTATAAAAGGGTTTCGAGACGCTGATAACGTGCGGCGTGCATCTTCTTGAGCGACTGCGAGCAGCAGGACCCACATGAATAACACACCACGCTAGTCATGCTCGAAATCCACGTGTTCTACACAGTTTCCTCACACAACCGAAATAATCAGTTGGTCATTCTATTTTATATTTTGCAAATTCTGTTGTCAACAATCACCACTGTCTCAGTTTATTTACTAGTCATGTGATCCCACCCAGTCAATGGTTACTTGTGGCACATCTAAGCCATAAGTGTGGCCACATGGAGCAGATCTTACCAAATCACCAATGCCCACCGTAGGAAGGTGCATATTGTACCATACATCTCGAGCATGCTGTGAACAATAACAAAACAACTGTCCCTGGTATCAGGTGACGCCACACTGAGCTTCCTCCTGTGTCCTTTTTACCCACAGTTGTCGGTCATCGACTCGTACATTTGTGTTCTATAATACACAACTCCCAGCCTCCGAGAAATGTAATGAGAACGCACCACCATGTTGTTTCTGTGGAAATCGGTTCAGTTCCTTGTGGTCCAATGTGATTTTCTAGTACTCTCGCTGAGTCTCAGAATTATACACTTCCGCAAACGAATCAATCATTTTTCACAAACTTCCGCATCACGTACACAATCGACCTAATGACTTCATATTCCTTTTAGACCGGGAAAAACTGGAAAACATTCAAGACTGCAGTCCGGCCAACATACAGCTTGGTGTTCCAACATGTGACCCATTCTGTTGCCACCCAAGTCTTCAATATGATAGTGTTAATTAAAAAAACCTACATCAACGCACATCGTATTACGGTTGTTAGCATTTTATTTCGAAGTTCAGTAACCGTGGGGTGAAGCGCTTTACTTAAGAAGCCCGAAATTTGGCAGTACGACATTGTATTTGTCATCAAGGAAACAAGAAATCCTTTGCCCTATCCGAACTATAACCACGCCACCGCTGTCCCAAGTTGTTCGAACCACAGTGAATTGAGATTAAAGTGGTGTCACGCACGTGGGTTATTAGAATGGAAACATCCATCGGCATTTTGCTCATTGAGTGACAAAAGACAGTAAGTTTTCTTTCCACGTCGAAAAGCAACCAGGAGTCAAGGAAGGAAGCCGTGTGTGGCTTGGTAAGGAACGCCTAGGAATAAACTTTGGTGTGCACCTAAATATAAACTCCCAAAGTTCAGTTTGATAAAGCTACTTCGTCTAGTCGCGTTTATGGATGTCTTGCAGGAATTGTAAGGCGAACTACATTATAAAACACTACCGAGTTGTATGGTAAAATCAGTGTCTTCATTGGGCTGTCTCAACTACGATTACCAATGTTTATGCAGTGTAGTTCATTGATCAAAGGACACCCCTTATCCCGAAAGCTCCAAGTTCAGAATATGCCAACTTCAAAAATAGTTCAAACATTATGGTTATAGCAAGAATCCTTGGCATTAGACTTGCTATTTATGTACTGAATTTTCGCCAGTGACCTCAGCAAGAGAGACGGCTCAATCTGCCACGGGTTACTGTCTGTTTACAAATGAGTAAAGGTAGCGGACGAGCACAGTTAGTCGTGACAATGACTCGGCCAAATTTAGTTTGTTATGACGGCAAACTATACACGTATGGAAAATGAGTTTTGTATATAGCTGCAATGTGAAAATACGAGGTGAATTCACATAAACGGTTATCTGAGTTAAAGTGTGTTTTAACATCATCAGCGCAACGAGTTGGTGAGGTTTATATATTTAGTGAACTTCGAGAGATCCATACCAAATCGTACTAAATAGAAACAAACAAACGACGCGTATGTAAATCGAGGTCAATAATTCACTCAGTAAGAGTAACTTAAAATGTTCGTGGTCACGAAGAACAACTTTACATTGAATTTAAACCACTCACGTTATATGGCATATTAAAAAAATATTCGGACTGCGGTTTAAACCTTGATTTCATGCAAAGTCATCAGTGTTTAGAAACTCATCAGTCTTTTATGTTAGAAATAGGTGCTTGAGACAGCAACTGCGACTTAAACGATCCTGCCAACCAAGGAAGTGATACTCAGTCACGTGATATTTTGCGCCATCGAAAAATGCAGAACGGAGAGGACATTTTCGGACCTAAATGGTTGCTATCAGAACAGGACTGCGTTAAAAACTATTTGTACCCAAATGGCATGGCCAAAACCAAAACCTCCAGCTCAAAACGTCGTATCCTGACCCGAAGAGCTCATCTACTCAATGACTGGCCGTATGAACGTGGTTCGTAATGTGAGTGATAGCCACAATATCCACTATGGTAACGTAACCCACTAGGGGACACGTACGTTTTATACATTAAACCAAAACTAAACACTCGGATACACAAATATCTAACATCGAAATACGCCAGTTGACTCGCCTTGCATGCTATCAGAAGTCAAGTTATTATCGATCATTCCAATCAGTATTTTGACTCAATTCCCTAGCAAGTAATCAAACTGCGCGGAAAAGCAATCACACTCAAATTGGGGATGATGAATTGAATTAGGCAGCCCTGGAGAAAACTAGGACAATATGCGACGTAATTCAAGAGCGAATTGACACGTTTGCATTAGACGAATATGGCATTTTAAATAAAGCGAGTCCGAATTAATCAACCTTACTGGTGTTAGCAGAAACAGATAAAAATTAAATCATCGCTTCATGTTGGCTTGACCAGTCAATTAAAAATATTGATCTCATAAATGAAACGTCACTCGCACACCAGTTTGTTGAACGATAAGCGAATGAGATCAGCGGTAAAATTTACATGGCATTAGGACAGCAACTGAAAATAAGTTCGCAATGTGTACTTTAAGTCGTTAAAAAATCACTTTCACCAACTAGAAACTATAGGAGAACAGGGATGCGACGTTTACCGGCCTGCACCAAACAATTAGGAGCAGTAAGTTATGAAAACGACAACGATCGTCAAACACAGCAAGCCTGTTGATATATTTCTTGCGAACAGGCCAGGTTTCCGAACCATAGAGCAAAACAGAACGTACACAAGCACCACCACGTACCCTTCCTTTCAGCGTCATTTTGACGCCAAAGATGACGGAGGTTGTTAGAGACAACACGTACCTTTGCTACCCTCGCCGATACCTCATCGATGATACTACAGGCGGATGAGATAACGCTAACCAAGTATGTGAAACTGTCCACAATCTCAAGTGGATTGTCTGCAATACAAAAGGCAGAGGTGGAAATGCCCGTCATGAATAATTTTACACTTTAAAGGTGCGAAGCGCATTCGGCACAAACCAGCCCGGTCACTCTGAACAGCATGGTCTGAATGTCTTCGGTATAGGGACTAAGTAAGACTATGTCATCCGCCTACTCCAAGTCGGTCAACTGAGCGCCAGGAGGAAGCTCAACACCAGGCTCACTGGAATCGTTAATCGCCCTTTCTAGAATTTCGTTTATGACAAAACTGAACGTGGAAAAAAAACACTTAACGAACACTACCACAGGTGATGAATGCTGGAGGCAGTTGTCCATAAACTCTCACCCTGCTTGCAGAGTGAGCATACAGTGGTTTCAACAGATTCATGCATTTCCCTGATCCTACCTTGTGAAGAAGACAGTTCCAGAGAACGTCACGAGCAACTGAATCGAAAGTAGCCTCAAAGTCTAGAAAGACCAAAACCGTCGGCTACCTGTAAGAGTGCCAATGTTCCCAGATCCGTCACAAGGTGAAAAAGTGATCAACACAACCTCGACCGGATCCGAATCTTGCCTGTTCTTCACGTATCTGACTTCCTCTGGGCTTAGTGAGCCGACGTAAAATGAGGTCAGTGAGTAACTTGGACACAACAGCCACGACTGATGTCTCTGTGGTTGTCACACAGACTTCGGGCCTCCTTTTTGAAAACGGAAATTACTGTTGATAGACACCAATCACGAGGTACCTCTTCAGATCCCCAAATCGTCTGGAGGAGTTTCGCCAGTTTTGATACCAACCTCTCCACGTCATCCTTGAAAAGAGGAGAGAGGAGGTCTGGTCTAGGAGCCTTGTTATACTTCAATAACTCAAGCTCCAGGGCCACTTCTGCTTCCGATGGTGAATCGTCTGGAGCGCAATAACTGACCATTCGGGCCCTGTCGTCCACATCGTCCGGTTGAGGCCAACTGAACTGATCTTCGAAATGTCCAGCCCAGCTGTCAAGTCGACGCGATTGATTGGTGATAAGTGAATCATCTCTTTCACATATGGTCTCATTTACACCGACTCGACGACCAGTACAACCGCGGATCAGGGAAAAAACCTCCTGCTATTCCCAAATAAAAAGGATCTTTTCATCTCTTTCGACTGTTCGATCAAGTGATGCTCACAGTCTTTGCGCGGGCTTTTAGTCAGCTTGCGTTTAAGTTCTCAACGGTCACTATATTTAGAACCAAGTGGGATCGAGCGACGCTTGTTCATGAGGTTTTTCGACATGATGGAAAAACAGTTCTGTTGCAACTGAACAGATTCTTAGGGACATACTTCTTCATAGCACCCTTTCATAGCTGTGGTGATTTGTTTCCAGTGTTCGTTAGGATCTCTCATTTGACTCGAACTGGGCAACTTCTTCACCAACGCCTCCTGGTAAGCGTTTTCCACATTCTCCGCGCTCGAATGCCAGTTAATTATCTTGCATTTACGAATGTATGTCTTCAGGGCGAATGACAAGACAGAACGGGCACGCACAACAGCACGGTCCGAGTGGTTGCTTCAAAAGGTATGACAGCCCACTAAACATTGGGGCTACCTGGAACTGACTGTTATATGATTTTAGATGAGACCCAATTGTGAAAAGTCAGGGCTTCGGCTGGATTCGAACCAACGACAGAAACACCATGCCCCAACGCGGCAAGCGCTCCACCGGCTGAGCTACGAAGCCACGTCAGAAGCTCGGAAATTTCACATTTGGACTCGGTTACCCACCCGCCCCACTATCTCATATGGAATCCACCAAAGGATCCAGTGGAGCGACTGCCCTGGCAGGATTTCTCGAACAGTTCACGCTGGAATCCACCAACGCCATTGTTGAGCATAGAAATTATATTACTAATAAGTAATTTGGCAGAGTTATGATTATAGATGAGACCCAATTGTGAAAAGTCAGGTCCTCGGCTGGATTCGACTGTTATATGATCCAACTGTGTCCACTGCTGAGAAGCACACGGAGGTCTCCATGTAACACAGTGCCTCTTCTTGTGTTGCATTGCGGTGCTCGAAATACAGAGATCGTGGGATACGCACAGCTGCAGTCGTCCTTCCACACAGTCAGTCCGCAGTGCCCGGACAACAAATATGCCTCCAGCCGCTTGTCCTTCGGAGAAAGACAACCAAGCTGGGCATTCAAATTGCCTGCTAGTATGATGATATCTGAGTGTTTCGTTCGCCTCAGAAGATCAACGAGGGCGTCACAGAACGCGTCCTTGACAGCATCCGAACAGCTGTGCGTTGGAGCGTACGTCGATATAATGAAAAAATAACGCTTTTCTGATTCGCGTCGACAGACTCGAACCGATTTATTGAGTCTGACAGTGCAAAAGCGACTGTTCACTGGGATCCAATCGAGCAAACTTTGCTCTGCTCTGGAACTTACTGTGACTTATACCCCAGCTTGACCACGAGATTCAGCTTTTGCGTCACCACAGATCCCAAGAGAGAAGCGCATGATTCGAAAGCTTTCTAGAAGTGAGCTCAAATGGATAACGATGCTAGAGTCGTACACTCGCGTCTCCAACACGCGGCACACATTAACCTCCAGACTTGGGAGAGTATTTGCCAGAGTAGTATGCTGACCGCTTTGTCCGAAAGTGTGGACAATGAAGGTGCCAATGTTTACAAGTTGTCTGGGCTCTAGAAAACAATTGTCACTAGAGGGCACATGGAAAACAGAAAACTTGGGGGCATAATAGAAGGAGAATGTCGTGCTGGGTGAATAATTTCATTCTCAGGAGAACGACAACTTCTGATATTTCGCGGTCGCTTACGCCGTGGATGGGAATTGATTTGAAGGATCCCACCCAGAGTTCCTGACAAAAGTCTGACCTGCTAGACAACAGGCTTCTCAGAGGACGCTATCAGAATCCAATGCCCCAACAATCTGATTCACTTGGCAGTAAGGGCGCACTGAATAAGACATTAGTGTCTGATTCTGAGCACTGCTGCACGCAGTGGATGTATTCAAAGCTACATCAGGCTTTTGGGTGACACTGGGAGTTTTCCGACCGTACTGGATAATATACCGACAGTCACGGTCAACTGTTAGGCGACCAGAGTACAGTTCATTCGAGAGTACCTTTTCTAAACCCTTCTTCTTGATACAGAGAACAGCAACGCCGCAACTACAAAAATAGTCCTACAATATGCCCACAGGACCGTGCCTCACTAACTAAGCACTCCTACGCGGTGAGTAGTTCAATATACAATCCTACGAGTGCATCTGCTTTTCGTTTGACTGCTCCCCTTTGACCTGTCTGACAAGGTTGCATCAGGAAGGACCGAAATCCTAGTCAGCATAGCCTGCCGGAACAAAACAGTACACAAGCCCGACCACAACATCAAGGCGGCAGTATAGATCAGGGCATACACTACCGAGACAGACTAAAATTGTGCTTTGTGAGTGTCAACATCGATGGAGGGGCGATACATCCTGGGGAAGCAGGACCTCAGTACTATGACAATTTTTTAAAAACGGCGTCGACGTACTGATAGCTACTGCTGAGCAGTCTCCACCTCTGGAAGAAAGCCGAAGCACGGTTCTAGGAAAACTGTCCTACGGATTCGAAGTATCAAATGTTATCCCCATGCGTATCCAGGTCTTCAGCACCTTTGGGGTTTTGAACATTCCACGCAGCTTTACCACCTAAACACATCATACCACAGTTTGCCCGAAAAACTAAAAATGAAAACGCACTCGCCGTTGCATACGTTTCCAGTATTCGTCCTTGTACAACTGTCTAACTGAGTGGTACTCAACGAGATAGTTCGTAACGCGCATTTCATGATGGGAATTGGAAGTAACAACAGGAAGAAACCTACACCCAATTGATCGACTAAAAATTGTTCCACCAGTATCGACCCGTGTACAACACCCGTAAGAGTAACCCAGAGAAATAATACCAAGTTTGCAAGGAAACTCGCAACATAGTGAAGAATGCACAGCAGAGGCCGATTTGTGCAAAACACCGTCACCATTACCTCTGGGGACAGCGAACATCGGTCGCTTAAGCTGCTTATCTACTACCTTCCTCCATTGTTAACGATGGTTTACAGCGTAGTAGAACATAGAAAACAGCTGCTGTACCTCAGAGTATGGCACTGATAGATTATTTCACTTTCGTCACGTGGACTCACGTTGTTTATCCTCAGCGCGTACGCGTCTAAACCATAGTGAAGAATGAGCTTTCGAGATCTGGTCCGATTTCTCCTTCAGCACATATAGTCTCAGCCTGTTCCCCAACACGAAACATCGAAGGTTTCAACTCCTCCTTATTAACAAAGGGATCAACAGTTAAATTTGGATACCGTCAACTTATCCTTCAGGAGCACGGCAACATTACATCTACTTCTCTAGAATGAAGCTTCGGTTTGAAAGTGTACGTAAAAACAACCATTTTAGTCACAGCTGAACCCGCCAATTTTAATTTATAAGCGTTGCGTGAAGGCCATTAGACCGCCAATCTAGTCGATATATCAGCTGCTTCTCAAGCCAAACAAGGAAAGTCGACTTTCCCATGTTGGAATTCGAAGAACCACTCGTCGGTCTCTCTGAAACTTCTGGATCCAAGTTGCTGAACAATCGCCTAAGTTTATTTCTGAATCAGTGTGCAGGACGCCAATGTTCGTCTCTCTTTGATCAACTGCACTACATCGATCGACCGACCGTATCTTCTTGCTGTTCCTAAGTTCTCAGTACCCGCGTTTAACTGGCCTTCAGGCAGCCGGCTAAGTCCAGCCGATCGTCTTTCCATACAAGCGAACAACTATATTTCTCCACGATGTCCAGTGCGTTCGGTTAGTATCAATTGCCACAGTTTGATGGTTTCGTACACTGGTATTTTAGATATCCTCACCCACTTCACGATGCTTTTGTCATCATTTGCAGAAATGCGCCAGCATTTGGTCAAATTATTTTTGTCATTCTTGCCTCGAGACTATCAGTCAAAACTGATGATGTTCCAAAGTAATCAGAGCAAAAAAATTCAGGTATACTTCGGGAGTCAAGTTAGCGAATGTGTCAACAAATCATGAATTGATTTAATTCGTCACCCGACGTCCAGGAACTTATCAATAGCGGTTTGAAGGTGCGAATGAAGGGGTAAGAAGTCGAGAGTTTAACATCGTGGCAGTCGCGAATTATGACCATTTGCAAGGTGAAAGAAGACGGCTTGGACCGTCCTTATATACTATACATGTCATGAGTCAAAGTGCAAAGCACTTCAAAAGGTCTATCGAACATAAAAACACCAAAGAATACTACAGGAACCGATCTGCAATCCATAATTTTTTTTAAAATGGCATGGAGCCCAAAATCACAAAAAAAACAGATGAAAGAATATAAAAAAGGATTATTAGTACCAAAATAATTCGAATACTACCACAATGACAACGGAACAATGTGCACCCGTTTTGACAGTATTGTTGCATTCAGTGGAAAGTCTACTTGAGCGCGTGTTCTATTCCAACGGAGGAGTGCATCCGTAATGGTATACCTGCGACATAGACAGTGAAAAGTAGCATGAATACATTAATTCTGGTGGAAATAAATCTTAAACAAATTAAACAGGAAAAAAAAATTGGTTTTTGCTTCCATCGTTTACAAGAACCACTTGAACCAAAACAGTCGCCCGTTAAGAAACCAAACCTACAAAGAGGTTGCTGCTGCTTGAACCACTGAAATACAGACACCCGGTGTCTCTAGCTGAGGTTTCAGTCATTTGGGAATGTGATATTTGATATGAGCAGCTAGTTGTCGGTTTGTTCTCCTTATGTAGCTCGTACTGTAACTAGACGAATATCTGTATAAACAGTGAAGTGCGACAGACAGACTGTTTGTTCGTGGCCGAGGTGACTGGTAGAGTTCTGGTTCGCCGTACTCAACACAGTTTTGCGGTGCTTCAATTTGTGGAAACAGCGGCTGTTAAACGTATCTTTGTTACTGTTAACCTGCTGTCCTCAGAAACAGGAGTTCTGAGTATACTGTCCTCTTCGGTGCTGTCGTTACTTCTATTTTTGGGATAGTAGCGCTGTTGTACTTTCTAATGAATTGTACGGGGTATCTGTTGACCCGCAGAGTATCCGTCAGTAAGCATGACTCTAGCTGTACGTTGTCTTCTGTGCGTATCTTCCGTGCTCTGCTGAAAAGCGTTCTGACTAGATTTCTCTTATTCCACACTGGACAGAAGCTTCTGAAATGCATACACTGTCCTTTCCAAGTAGGTTTCCCGTAGACAGATCTTCCTACCGTGTCATCTGACCTTCGGGTGACTAGGATGTCCAGGTACGGAAGACAGTTATTCACTTCGCTCTCTCGCGTTCACTTAAAGTTAGGATGAGCTTGGTTCAACCTCAAGAATAACATATCTGAATCAGTTGAGCTCTGAAAACTGGTTAGAATGTTATCTACGTAGCGTCTGTACAACACCCGTTTTGACAGGCTTTCGCATAACGTGGATTCTATTACTGCGATAATGAAATCCGTTAGAAGTGGACCAGGAGGACTGTCCATTGCAACCCTATCCACTTGTCGAAAAACAAACGTTTGAAAACTGAACATTACATTGTGTGGACAGAAGTACCACTGATTCCTGTTAGATCATTGGAATGGGAAAGGTGGAATTGCTGCCCAAAATAAATTCACAAATAGTACGAACGGTTGTTTCACGA